GAGTTCAGCAACACAGCCATTATGCTAACAGCTGGCCCTGTATGCCATGTGTTTTTAATGACTGAGAGTTCCTAAGGAGAACAGTATTCCTCAGTTTTGTATTTTGGGTATTATTGAAAGGAGGTGTCCATCCAGGTACAAGTATGTACTCATTTACTATAAATTGATGGGCTTTGTTGTAAAGTACAGTTTTAATCATTTACCAGGACAACCTGCACCCATGGATACTGTTTTCTGAATTAGAAGTTAAGAAGTGGGTGCATTTGTTTCTCATGCATTGAGTGAGGCTAGAGAGCATGTTCATATGAACATTTATTTCCATTGCTAATAAACGTGACACTTTTTTTTTTCTCTTTTGATGTTTTTAAGGAATAAAAAAGTGATTGCTTTCCTCATTATTTTACTCTGAATTTAGATATACAAGGGTGGAATTAAAATTGGTTTTATTTATTTATCTTTGGGGAGGTTTTTGTTTGTTTGTTTTTTGTTATAGGGCGCGCATGCTGCCAGAGGGACAGAGAGACAGAAAGCAAGAAATCACCCCCGGGGGAATAGCCACCCCGCAATCCCTTCTCCATTCTCCTCTTTGGATCTTGGGCACGCACGCACATGTGCCCGGTGTGAGTTTAAGCCACCAGATCTGAAACAAACTGTGGTCGACCACATGGGACATAGCCATTATGCCAACTGCTTGTCCCCCAATTTTTTTTTTATATAATTATTTAATTTTATTTATCATTATTTTTTAAAATTTGCTACAAGTCATGTACATTCACTAGAGAGAGATGGAGAGAAAGAGGGAGAATGAGAAAGCAAGCTGCTAGGTCCAAGACTCAAACCTTAGCCAGCCATGTGGTAGTACATTGTCTTAACCACCACACCACCTGCTGGCCACAAAAGACTTTAGAATTAAAGGAAATAAAATCCTAATTTAGATGAAGATTATGTAGATTAAGAAGGAATTAGTTCTGTTTTCAATTTTGGTGCCCCATATTATTTAAAAAGTTCTCTACAAGGGTATCATATTGGGAGTCAGATGGTGGTAAAGCAGTAAAATGCAACACTGTAAGGCAGACCCATGTGGGAAGGTTCTGAGTTCATGTCTGGAGACCTCCCTAAGTATGCCTAGCAAGCTGGTCCCAAAATTCCATTTATTTTCTACTCAATTCTTTTTCCTTTTAAAATTTTGATTTTAAGTTATAAAGATTAAGTTACTATTTGCCAAAATTTGGGTAGGATATAAGCTGAATTTAGGTGATCTCTGAATGAATACTTATTTAATTTTTAAATTTTGGTTTAGTTTTTGCCATAGGGTACATGTACTCATAAGAAGTGAAAAATCACCCCCTTTTGAATGATGGCCCCACTGCAGTCCCTTCTCAATTCTCCTCTTAGGATTTTTGGCATGTTTGCACATGCATGTGACTTGTTCTTCAAGATGTGGGATCTGGAATTCAAACTGTGCAGTTAGCCATGTGGGATCCAGCTGCCTTAATTACCAGACCACCTGGCTGGCCTTACTTAAATTCCTTTTTAAAGTTTTTCTCAGGACCAGCAGATGGTATAATGATTATGTGGCTGGACTCTACCTAGTCAACTATGGTTCGAGTAACATACCTGGTGGCTTAAAACTATGCCAGGGGACCAGCAGATGGCATAACGGTTACATTGCTGGACTCCCACGTAGACAACCGTGGTTCGAGTCCTGGAACCAGCAGCTTAAAACTCACATCGGGTGCATGTGAGTTTCTCCTCTCAAAATTCTGAGAGGAGAGTGGAGGAGAAGGGACTGTGGCATGGCCATCCCTACTGGTTTATCACTTTCTGTCTCTCTGGCAAGTTCATGTGCCCTATAGCAAAAAGTTCTAAACAAACAAACAAAACCTCTACACAAGGTGCATGTGCATGCATGCTCAAAATCCCAAGAATGGAGGAAAAGGGATTGTGGTATGGCCATCCCCTCAGGGGCTAATTTTTGCCTTCTGTCTCTCTGTCTCTAGCTCTCTAGTGAATGGACACGCACTATAGCAAAAATCTCCCTCTCTCTCTCTTTTTATTTATTTTTTTTTGAGAGGTTTTTGCTATAGGGCACATACACTCCCAGAAAGAGACAGAAAGTGAGAAATTCCCCCCCCCCCTCCCCCGGGAGATGACCACACTGCAACCCCTCCTCCTCCATTCTTCTCTTGGGATCTTGGGCTTGCATGTACACGTGCCTGGCGTGAGTTTAAGCCACTGGGTCTGGGACTTGATCTGTGGTCGACTACATGGGAGTCCAGCGACATAGTCATTGCAACAACTGCTGGTCCCAAAATCTCTCTTTCAAAAAGACAAAAAAGTTTATTTCTTCATGAGAGAGAGAGAGAGAATTAGTGGCACCTGATTGGGCAGAGATGAGAGTAGAGGAGAAGGGATGGTGGCATGGCCATACCCCTTGGGGTGATTTCTCACTTTCTGTCTCTCTATATCTTTCTGTCTCTCTGGTGAGTGCACATTCCCTATGACAAAAACTTCTCAGGAAAAAAAAAAAAAAAGAAACAGGCTTGGCATGTTAGTTAAAGCACTGGACACTCCCACATGGCTAACCACGGTTCAAGTCTCGGACTTGTAGCTTGCTTTCTCACTTTCTCTTTCTCTCTGGTCAAATTAAAATAAATGAATGAATAAATAAGATTGAATGAATAATTCTTTTCTGGGACCAGCAGTTAGCGTAATGGCTATGCTGCTGAACTCCCATATAGCCAACCGTGGTTCGAGTCCCAAACGCGGTGGCTGAAACTCATGCCGGGTGCGTGTCCGTGTGTGCCCAGGATCCCAAGCAGAGAGGGGAAGAGAAGGGATTGTGGTGTGGCCATTCCCCCTAGGGGGGGATTTCTCGCTTTCTATCTCTCTGTCTCTGTATTTTTGCTGAGCATACGCACCCTATAGCAAAAACATCTCCAACAAACAAACAAATAATTCTTTTCATTATTATTATTTTTTTTGAGAGGTTTTTGCTATAGGGTGCGTATGCTCAGCAAAAATACAGAGACAGAGAGATAGAAAGTGAGAAATCGCCCCCCAGGGGGAATGGCCACACCACAATCCCTTCTCTTCCACTCTCTGCTTGGGATCCTGGGCACACACGGACACGCACCCGGCATGAGTTTCAGCCACCGCGTTTGGGACTCGAACCACGGTTGGCTATATGGGAGTTCAGCAGCATAGCCATTACGCTAACTGCTGGTCCCAAATAAATAATCCTTTAAAAAAATAATTGAACAGGCTTGAGGCCAGCAGGTGGCATGGTGGTTAAGGGCACTGGACTCCCACATGGCCGACCATGACTCAAGTCCCTGACCTGGCAGCTTGCTTACTTGCTTTCCCTCTCTCTTCCTCTCTCTCTCTCTTACTTTGTCACTCTCTGGTCAAAATTAAAATAAATAGGGAACCAGCAGTTAGCGTAATGGCTATGTCGCTGGACTCCCACGTAGTCGACCACGGTTCGCGTCCCGGGC